TCTTAAACTTGGACAGGTTGAATTAACCCAACCCACCTCTGGCAGGTGTACTCAACATACTGTATAAAGTATAACATTCAGTTTATTATTTCTTTCTCAAGAGAGTCTTCTTCAGTCCACTAAGACCCAGCTCCCCTCACATGGGCTTTGGTGGAGGTCGTGGGGCAGCACCAGCAGGTCTAAATCGGGGTGGAGGAGTTTGGTCCTTGCAGGCTTCACGAGATCGATTTCTGACCACTTTGCTGTGAATGGCACAACTCACACGGTAATGCAGCTTCACATACAGCTTGGGAAGCACATAACTGTCGAGGATACTCACTTCGGAAATGTCACTGATGGCAGCGGCCTCCACTGTGTTCCAAGTAACAAACTTCTTAATGGCCTTATCCTTGGGTACACACCGGGTGCAGTTTGTGCAGCAAATAGGCTGCACATGACAGTGGCCCTTTTTGGCATGACCATTGTTTGTTCCTTTTTTCGTCATCTTGGAAAGGAGGACCCGAAAGAGGTATTTCAATTTTTATCATTGTAGTATTCAATATTCAAAGCAGTTTAGAGACTTCCTGCTCCAAATGCAACCCTCTTGCCGATGTCAAATGATGTCCAAAGGGTCTAGAAAGATACAAATTTCACATTTTTCCCATGAGCCTTGGGTGATCTAATGTGGTAGTGCTGTAGATTTTTCTCCATTCTATTTAAACATGTTTTAATAGGGGTTGGCTATTTCCTTGGAGCTGTGGCAGAAGGCACAGTTTCCCAGGACATCTCAGGGAGTACATGTGGATTATTTTGTCTTTTGGGAGGTGGCTTATTTCTTAAAAAGTTGTACTCTGGGCACTGTGGCCTCAAGGAAAACCAGGAGGCTCATGCTGCAGAAGCCCTTTGGAGGAACGTGCCAACTGCTCCGTAACCGTGAGCTAGCTCGCCTTTGATGGGGAGATTAATAGTTTCCATAATCATATCATCCTGTTTGTTCTGGGCCCAGAATTTACTCAGACTTGAAAGAAATGGAAGTTAATTGAAAGTGAAAAAAATCTTTCTGTCTTTTCTCTCTGAGTCTCTCATCTAAAGAAGCAATCAGAAAGAGAATTGAAGGTTAGTTGCCAGTGACAGCCAAGACATTCATTTTCTTGTGAAATTGTAGATACAGAGAATCAGAAGAGAAGGTGGAGAAGAGGTAGGCACAGGAAGAGCAGACAGCAGAAATGCCTAGCAGTGATCCCAGTGTACACGTGGAGGGTTGTCTTATGGCATTGTTCCTATCTATCTAATTCTGTGAGTATTTAGGAATAAATGTAAAGAACTGGGTTGGTCTGAGGGTTTTTGTCTGTATTTCTACCTTAGAGGGGCTTCCAGGAGCTTGACACTTGCCAGAGTTTGGAAAATACTTCATTTAAAATCTTTCTTTTCTAGCTGAAGTGAGCTCATCACTTTTGAGCTCATCTTCTAGCTGCTGTCATGTCTTGACTTCTCTCAATCTGCGTTCTAGTGCAGGTTTCTGAAGGGTGCTGTTGGAGAATTTCAGTGGGCAGAGGATCATGGGAGAATTGAAATGTTAATAGCAGATTCTTTTAATAGTGTCCTGTTTTGGGCCAGAGTTTGACTTCCAGTTTGTGATCGTTAAGTACCTCATTGAAGTTTATTGAACTATGAAGAGAGAAACAATGTAGATGAACATTTCCCATTTGTTCATTCATTGTAGTCTGCTGTGATTAGAACTTGCATTTGTTGAGTATTGAGACTAAGAAGGTAACACTTCAGACAGGAGGGAAAGAAAGGAGCTACTTAACAGCTATTCTGTCCATTTCTGAAAGTCAAGCCCATGCTGCTTTCCTGAAGCAACGTAGGTCTTTCCTCCCATAAGTTACTTGGAGATTTGGGGCTCCCTTGGATTTGGGATTTATATGACTGTAAGATATAGGTCCTTGGGCTGGGATATGGGTCAGCAGCATGGTGCCTGCTTGGCAAGTTTGAGTGAGGTCCTGAGTTCAGCTCCTGATACCCACCCATAAGATGCAGGTCCTTTCACAGGGTATCTCCCTATGAGGGCCCAACAGCACCTTTCCACCACTGCCTGCCCCACATGACCAGGACAGTAGACAATGCTTGCCTCACTCCTTTTGTGGACTTTACAAAGTAATCACTTCTCAGACTGCTCCCATTTTTAGTTAAGGCTAGGCCTATCCCGACTGAAAAGGGAGGTTAGCATCCCCAAGCTGCCTGAAGTTCCCATACCATATCAGTGGCGAATGGAGCAGCAGTGGATGTGACAGCAAGCTTACCATAGCAGGGCTGGGTGATGTCACAGCAGATGCTGGAGGAGTGGTGTATATGTAAGGGACCCCAGGGAGCACTGTGGATCTTCACCTGGGCCTAAAGAGACAGAATCCTCTTGTAGCTTAGCTGAATTTAGATTAGCTGCAGGGCACAGCCTCAAATGACAGGATGCAAGAAGCACCTGGCAAGCTCAGAGGTCAGAGCTGGAAGGAACATGCTTCCTCTCCACGCTTCACGCCCGTCACTAGGGCTTCTAGCTACTCCTGCTTCCTGTGTGCTTGAGATCACCTTAGGAGGAACCCGCTGAAGACATGATTTTTTCTTTTTTCTGTTTTTTAATTAAACACTAAACAGTTCTTAAAGAGTTTATTCCAATTACTAGACCTCAGTAAAAATTTAAACCAAAGTACATCTTTGGTTTATTAGTTTCCCTGCTACTAACAGATAGGGGACCCAGAGAACTGTCTGTTTTGTTAAGGGCACAATGAAGCTATGGCCTTTTCTTTCCACATTTGAGTTATAGTATGAGCTGGATTTGGGGACCCTGGTATTGGAGGAGTGAAGTTGCCAACGTGCTAGCAGATGAGCAGCCTTTCAGACTTCTCTTGAATCCTCTAGGGCCAGGTATACTGAGTATTCCCTACATACATAGATTCATCTCTAAAACTAAAGAGGACAGTAGATTAAAAGAAATATTTAGGGGCTGTTGAGATAGCTCAGTGCACTAAAGCACCTGCTTAGGCAAAGCGCAGGGACCCCAGTTCAATCCCTGGTACCACATGCCACACCAGCCTCTCTCCCAGGCATGCTGAGCTGGCCAGAGTCTGGGCATAGTGGTGCATGCCTGTAATCCCAGCACTGGGGAGGCTGAAAACAGGAGGGTCACTATGAGTCTGAGCTGTGTAGTGAGACCCTGTAAAAATTAAATACATTAAAAAAATAAAAAAGGATATTTGGGTACATTTCAGGAAGCTTGCTGACTTGAGTTTTAGAAATTGTATTTCTATCATCTTTCTTCACCATGAATGAACTTAAAACAGCAACAGAAATAATATCAGAGATTTTACTCTGCACTTCTGCCTCAAAGCTGATTGTTTTCCCTATACTTTTTTAAAGTTTATTTTTCATTTTTATTAGTGCACATTTATAGAACACAATGATTGCATTCACTCTAGGTAGTTGATACATGTATATAGCATATCTTCTTTTTTTTTTTTTTTTTTTTCTGGAACCGGGGATTGAACTCAGGCCCTTGTGCTTGCCAGGCAAGTGCTTATTCTATCTCTCCAGCCCCCTTTATCTTACTTCTTTTTTGGTGAAATGTTTGCTAAAGCAGGAATCTCATGTTCAGGTGGGTGTGTAGCTTCCTCACAGGTCATTTTGTAGTGTGCACAATACTGTGGCTTCTGTTCTAACGTAGGGAAAAAAGTCCAGTGTGCTTGGGCCACTAGATTACAAGATTCCTTGGTATAGTCTTAGCCTGCCCTTTATATTTGTGGAGCCAAGCCTAGCTCGTGGTTCACGGTATAATGATGGGTACATTTTCTGTTGCCTAACTAGCTTCTCAGCACTTAGTTGAGTTTCTGCTGATAAATGTGTGGGGTTGTTCCTGTGAAAAGTAACATGCGCATTCCATCTCATGCATTTATTAGACTGGCATTCTGTGCCTTTTGCCAGCTTCTGTGACACGAATGGAGTGACTGTGGGTCACTCCCTCCAGGAGCTCACAGCCCAATCCCCGGGGCAGAAAGAAGCTGAATCTCAGGCAGGCGGGCCATCAGGTGTGAAGCAGCGGGGGCTTTGCCACTGTGGTCCCACTTGTTGGCTCTCTTGCCAGCATTGGAGTCTTTGGCTCTATGCGCTATAAGTCTTTAAACATCCCAATTCTTTTTACTTCTCCCTCCTTGCTGAATCTTTCTCTTCTCTTCCCTTTTTTCTAACTCCCAGAGCCTGAGAATGACTGCGTTCATCGATGCATTCAACAAACAGCTACTGACTGCCAGCTGCATGTGGGGCATGGTGCTGCTGCATCACGCTTGGCATGTGGCAGGCTCCGCAGGGGCTAGCTGGAAGATGAATGAAAAACTGTCTCCCTATCTGGAAGCACATTTCCCTGGGGCTAATATCACTTAAGCTTAAGGCAGTGGTCCCCAAGCTTTGAGGCACGTTAGAACCACCTAAGGATCTTTAACTCCTGATGCCTTCCCTCTACCCTCAGACATTTTAATTTAGTTGATATGGGTAGAAACTGAACATAAAGATTTTTTCAAAGCTACCTATGGGCTTCTAACATTGAGCAAAGTTTGGGAACTCCTGGCATAAAGATCTTTGACTTGCTGCCACCTCTTATTTACTGGGAAGTATCTGGTAATTTTGAATTTGAAATTCTTTAAAAAACAAAACAAAACAAGGGCTGGGGAGATGGCTCAGTGGAATAAGTGCTTCCCTGGCAAGCACAAGGGCCTGAGTTCAATCCCCGGTTCTGGAA